GATCCACTAGAAGAAGGATGTCCCCAGTATTCTGTAGGCCACTTGAGCCCCGCCCACACACACCCGCCGCGTCCCGCTACATCAAGGATACCACCGACAGTGTCACCCACAGTTGTGTGTCGCACGCGCAGTCTGTGCCTTGTGGCTTCATAACGTTTCTTCAAAGTGCAACTTGCGTTTGCGTCTGTGACGAGAGAATTTTGCCAGAGTCTCTGTTACAAGAATGTTTATCTAGCATATTTTGCTTGCGACAAGGGAATCTCTGTTACTTCCCCTGACCGTTACAGTTTATAGTACATCGTTAGCATATCGTGTCTTGGATATAGAGTATAGATCTACCTTCTGTCCCGCGTCTTTGACAAGGCATCTGGCCTTCAACCTCGCGTGGGTGACAAGTCAATCTAGCTAGCATATTTTTCTGTGAGAACTGTGAGGACTGAGGAATCCTTTACTTCTTGTAAGTGAGTACTCCGCCCTCACCTGCTGTGGACTGTTTGCCTGCCGCGGGTACCCTGGAGGTCCTGCTGGTGGTCAACTTTCACAGGGCTGGAAAGTAGTGGTGCTTTGACCATATCAGCGGGTGAGTTTATATAAATTTTTAATTATCAGGAATTTAATTGTGAAGAAGTTGACAACATAGATATTTGTAGATCTGTGTAGCCTCTTTAACTTTTGTTACCGTATATCTCTACAACAGCAGCAGCTATCAGGAACACCCAAATAAATTCCCATGAACATCATCCTTGTCTTTGTTACTCAAGTTACCAGATTTCTTTTCTTGAATTTAGTTATATTCTTCACGAGTTACGCTATAAAACAAAGGTGTCAATGTTAGATGCAGATGGAAAAAAAGAGTTGAACAAAAAAGATACAATCAGAACTAAAAACAGAAACAGGAATAATAGTAATCCCCATCACCCGAGGCCAACGGTCCAGGTTCATTAGAGCAACAGGGGAAGGTCTTTAATATTCATACCCATAGAGAGATGAAAACTACCTGGACCGCCAGCTTGACTTATCTCCGCTAATGGTTGCCGTCGGTGTGGCAGGATAATTACTCATTAAACCTCGACATAGTTGCAACTACATGGACGGAATCACTCAGACCTGGTGTTATTTAGCAGTAGAGCAATAGGTAATTAATGAGATTTTTACTTGATTTAACTTGGAATCCTAATGCGCAGAATAAACAATAATAATAATAATAATAATAATAATAATAATGGGACCATATCACCATCTTCTGGAATTCACAAGAACTACAAGTAAAATACATATTATTGAGAAGAAGAAGAAGAATAACAAAACGCTAAAAGTTAATAATTAAAATAGGAAAAGTCTTACTTATCTTAAACCCTCGTGTGATATTTTGACTATACTGCATGTAATGAAATGTTCCTTTAAGTTCCTCTGATACAGCCGTGAACAAAAGACAGATACTAATACCTTGTTAAAATATCTTCTATGCAAAAAATTCTATCTCTCATAAATACTAATTGTTGATGGATTAACGAAATTGCAGACCTCATTACTCGTTTACAGACCTTAGTTGTTGAAGCACAGTCATAACATGGCGAGGTTAATTCTTCCCATAAGTTTTAAGGTGCTTCCTGGTCTTAGCTAATGTAGCACCTAAACGCATTACAGCAGAGAATATCAAAATTAATAGTTTATTATCCTGGTACAGTATGTATTTAAGATAACAATACCCTGTAATAACTGATAAACGAATCTACTGATATGTATGATATCACGCTACGATAACTGCCTATACCTGGAGATTACGATAACTCTACCTTTTAAGTCTGTCCTTGTCGTGGTATTTATATAATTGTAAGTGTGTGTGTGTGTGTGTGTGTTTATATACATCAGTCTCTCTCTCTCTCTCCTTGTCCAAACCCGTTCAATTTAAACCAAACCACTCTTATGCACATCACAAAAACGACCTCAACAGTACTTCATAATTTCTCCAGTCCCATTTTTAAGAACAGTTTGGTGCCAAGTAACTCTTTTTCCCTGTACGACCAAAGAAATAAAAGTCAATAAACCGATGAGAGGAACACAAAATAATAACCACAAAAAATAAACTAATGGCGAATAGGAAATTAAGTAATGACGAATATGATTATTAAGTCATGACACGAGCACATATTGACAGTCATTGGAGTGTGTGCTAATGTGAGTTACTTCATGTCAACACGAAGTCGATGTCAAGTTTGAGAGACAATCAGCCCTTTGGATTGCCCCAGGAGAAGAAGGGTTTTTTGTTATGGGGGAGGGAGAGAGAGGAAGGTAATCAAGCTGTTCTTTGCAATGATTATAAAAGTTCTCTTGGAAGCTGTTATTCGAGACCTTGACAAGTATTCTTAGAGACCTTTATAAAAACTTAAAGACCCTAACAAACACACACATTCAGAGACCTTAACAAACACACACTCAGAACCCGTAACAAACACACCGAAAAAAATGCACATATATTAAAAAAAAACACTCAGAAACCAAGAGACCATGACAAGCACACAAACAGTCTAAAATACAGAATAAAAACACAAAATAAAACTGACAAACACACTCAAAGACTCACAACGAAAACACTCACACACACTTAGAAACCCTGATAAACTATAATCACTAACAAACACACTCAAAGACTCACAAAGGAACACACTCACTAACCCCCATTAGAAACCCTTGAAAACACAGCTTACACAAACCACCTCAAGCTTAAGGAGGAACCAAGCTTAGAGTGCCTCGTGAGGGTGTGAGTGATAGCGTTCATTTACATACGATAGGACCTAAGTCAACATTGACACTATCAGGTGACATCCTACACCCAACCGCCCAGTTCTCTCCTTCTTTCCTCCCTCGACCCTCACGGCCTATTGGTGGCTGGAGAAGAGATGGTTGAGGTGAGAGATAAAGAGACAGAGAGAGAAAAGCAGTAAGCGGGAGATAGTGAGAGAAAAAGAAAGAGAGAGAAACAGTAAGAGAGAGATAATGAGAGAAAGAGATAGAAACAGTTGGAGAGAGAGAATTAAGAGAGAAACAGAGAATAAGAGGAAGGTATTGAGAGAATAAGAAGGTATTGAGAGAAAGAGAGAGAAAAACAGAGAAAAATAGAGATATATTAAGAGAATGAGAGATAAACATAGTAAGAGATTGAGAAAAAGAGGAAGATACTTGAAACAGAAAACAACATTAAAAAAGTTAGACACCAAAGACGCCAATAAGGACAGAAAGACAGAGACATTGTGGAGAGGGAAGATGATGATGTACAAGACTTGACACTTAGTATAGTGATGAAATTTCTCAACTCTGTCAAAACAAACTTATGAAAAGAAATATTGTAAGTGACGTCAAGTAAAAATAAGTACGGTGCCGAGGTTACAATAGAAGCCCTCCAGTTATTATACTCACTTGAGATGTTAATTAATAACCTTTTCACACACACACACACATACAGACAACAAACTACGTAGGAATTAAACTCTGTAAAGAAATATAGTTGGTGGAAACGAGGCATATGGCACAAGCCGTGGATGAGTCAGCTCGTGTTGTTTACCTACCGCCGCGGAGTCACCATTCTTGTTTATCTTTTCCACACCACCTTGAGACATAATGAGGCGAATATAACTTTTTTTTCATTATTATTCGGTGAAAATAAAATGTTGTAGTGCACAATACAGGGGGTATTTGCCAATTGTAAGTGATATTAACGTCTATCGCATTAAACTAGAGGTAATGAGAGCTTATGAGCCAGGCTTTATGTCGAGACTACCAGGTGAAGTACTTGGTCAACATCAGCCTTGTCAAGTGTTCCCCAGGTGAGAGAGTGTACTGCTGGGGTGACAAGTTGAAGGAAGATATTGAAGAGTGGATTATGTGGATGATAATGTGGTTAGGTTAGTTTTGGTTAGGGTGGGATAAGCTAGGCTGTTATGTTAGTTTATTCGAGGTTAGGTTAGGTTAGGTCGGAATAAATTAGGTTGCTATATTATATTATTTGATGTTAGGCGTCGGTTGGGTGGATATAGCGCTCGCCTTTGTTCCAGGGGTCAGTGGTTCGTTCCCGGGCACTACCCGTTCACCCAACTGTAATTGGGTATTGATTGGGTAGCTAATTTTACAACTTCAGGAAGTTAATGCAGTTCCGGTCATGCTGCCTACTAGTGTACTGAAAGCTGTAACATAGCGAAGGTAGGATGAGGCTTTGATAAGGTGGACTAGCAGAAAATTCGGATGGTTCATGTCGTTTGCTATTTAAATCTGAGCGTTGTAGTGTCCCAGTAAGTGGAACTGCTGTGCGTCAGACTATTTACCAATTGCTTTGGTAAGCACAACTTAGATGGACCCCTAAACCCCAGTGTTATGGCAACATCAGCTGTCACATTTTCAGCCGTTCAAGACACGTCCATGCACACACTAAGGTGAGCTAAAATAAGGTCTCACAGTGCACTGTCGATCAGTGTAATAGTTTACATGAATAAGTGATCATGTTGACTTTTGAAAAGCAGAGCCTTCGTCCAGGATTCTACTAGTTAAACTAAGTAAATTAATTAAAAATGTAAATTATCTTCATAAGGAATAAAATAATAGTTTATCCTAGTCATTCCTCTCGTACAATAGTTTTCTATGAACAACATCCTACAGATCCCCAAATGAAAGTAAGAAGAATGGTAAAGAATGATATACTCAATACAGTATGTACTGTATGTATTGCTTTTATTCAATTCTCATACAAGTAGTATCAAAATATATTAATATTTGATGTTTAGTTCTATCTTAATAAGATCCGTAATACAGTACAGTATGTTTACCAGCTATGGCGCCTTCATATGATAGTGAAAGTTATCCTCATCTTCGCCTTACGTCTTCACACAGTTTTCCTAGATAGGCCTAAAAGTTGTTACAGTACATTAAGTACTCTATTACACTTACGGTTAAGATTCGATATAGTATAGTGTATACATGCACAGAAGTTTATATTAATTTCAACTTACAGTTAAAGCGTAGAAGGCGAGACAGGTACACTGAGGTGTGGCACAAACATTCAGGTCAGCCACAGACAGTCAGTTATGGAAGAAAGTGAAATGTGTAATGTGTAACTCCTATATATTTACCTTCCCTCTATAATTAATTAACTGATACTTACAGCAGTCTTTACATCATTGTCAAATTATCATACAAGCCTCTAAAGTACTCTTGTATCCATTACCTTCAATACGGTGTGTTGACCTTGACTGACGCTGGATGCTCTACGCCGCTAGTAACAAATAATGCTGTTGAATTCTGATTTTTAACTTAATTTGTACTCAAAGAAAATTATGCCTTTTGAATTTTAAACGATATACCAGAACACTGCCTTAATATACTGTTATATTTAGTCATTGTCAAGTGTTTATTGGTATGGTTAACGCTCATAGGAGCGATATTGGTTTGTTGCTGGAGAAATAAACCCTCAACGTTGACGCGTACCATATAATTCGGTCAAAACCTGTTAAAGAACATTTCTCATATAACAAATGCTGTTATCTCAGGACACATATTATGAAATACAATCAATATACAGTACATAGCCTGTTAACATCTTAAATATAACTCGCATGTTATAACTATTGATACAGGAGACAATTGGTATAATATGATCAAATTGCAGTACACAAATATACTTATTAAAGTTATTTAGAGTTTCTTAGCAGATTCTAATACTTCACGATCACTCACGTTTTAGGGTCTAGTGGTCTGAACCAACGTGTTGTCTGTCCTGTAGAAATCAGTAGACTACCCTCGAGGGCAATCTCAGCCCGGAGGCGAGGGCCATATGTTTTCGTATTGAAACACCTCAGCAGATTGGTCAGCAAATTCGTTGTCAACACTATAGCTCTCATCTCATCCCCTCTCTCTCTCTCTGTCTCTCTCTCGCCTAGTTTATCTTATTATGGTTATCCCTCTCTTTCTCTCTTCTAGCTTATCTTACTGTGGCGGTAACAGGTATGTTACGATTACTTTTGGTGATGTTAATGTGTGATAAAGAAGAAATTAAATAATCTTAATAATCTTCAGAGTTCAGAGGTGTGGCATATCAAAACTGAGAGAGAGAGAGAGAGAGAGAGAGAGAGAGAGAGAGAGAGAGAGAGAGAGAGAGAGGTGCCACGTAAGATAAGTTAAATGAGTGTTAGTTTGTCATGTACAGTGGTGTCATGTACTGTACAGTGGTGTCGTGTACAGTGGTGCCATGTACAGTGGTGCCATGTACAGTGGTGTCATGTACAGTGGTGTCATGTACAGTGGTGTCATGTTCAGTGGTGCCATGAACAGTGGTGTCATGTACAGTGGTGCCATGAACAGTGGTGACATGTACAGTGGTGTCATGTACAGTGGTGTCGTGTCGTACGTAATAAATATAAGAATAATATAATCTGACGACCTAATACACTACAGGAAGATAAAAGGAATCACTTTGTTTATTTTGTAAGTTGAAGATATCAAGAAGTGACAAGTGGTCTTTACTCATCGTTATTTCAGTACTTTATTGTGTTTACATCTCTTTCTTCTATCCTTTCCTGTCTTTATTCTTCTTCTTATTCTTATTCTTTTTATTATTATTATTATTATTATTATTATTATTATTATTATTATTATTAATATTATTACTATTATTATTATTATTATTATTGCTTGACAGATATTGCAACACGACACACTCACACACCTGCCTATTGTTGACACATATACTTGTAGGGAGTTAAGGTTAAAACAGCTTAGTTCTTACCCACGTATGTTTCTTCGACTTTTGACTCCAGACGAGTGACTTGTGTACCATGAGAACCTTCCTGACGGCGACGGTGACGATGACGGTGAGCGTGTTGGTGGTGCATTGCCTTCACCTGCTGGACGACCCGTCACCAATTCTCGACGACCACCTTGATAAAGGGGACAACTCTGACATCCATCCTGATAAGACTAATAAGGTACATCCTAGTAAGACTGAGGCACACCCTAATGAGGTACACCCTAATAAGACTGAGGTACACCCTAATAAGACTGAGGTACACCCTAATGAGGTACACCCTAGTAAGACTGAGGTACAACTAATAAGACTGAGGTACACCCTAATAAGACTGAGGTACACCCTAATAAGACTGAGGTACACCCTAATAAGACTGAGGTACACCCTGATAAGACTGAGGTACACCCTAATAAGACTGAGGTACACCCTAATAAGACTGAGGTACACCCTGATAAGACTGAGGTACACCCTAATAAGACTGAGGTACACCCTAATAAGACTGAGGTACACCCTGATAAGACTGAGGTACACCCTAATAAGACTGAGGTACACCCTAATAAGACTGAGGTACACCCTAATAAGACTGAGGTACACCCTAATAAGACTGAGGTACACCCTAATAAGACTGAGGTACGTACAACCGACGTAGCTGTCATCTCTGTCTTTTGTAAACAGAACTTTGGGGGTTAATTCCATTCAGCTTCCTGGAGACGGAGGCTTAATCCTTCAGAATAGAATTTGCCGTCCCTTGTAGACAGTAATTAACCCACTGAAGAAGAAATTAATTCCCTAGAGGTGGAAGTTCAATCTCTTGCAGGGGTAGAACTTGTTCCTTGGAGATTCACCTTTACCGTCACATCACCTGTAATCACTTTTGGGTTTAACATACCAACAATACACCTCAGCCTTAATTTTGCTTGTCCTATTAATAATCTCGTTCAATACAAGACCTATTATCTTCAGCCATGTCTTTCAAGCCATTTAAGCTTATTTTTAGAAACAGGATTAATACCGTGTATATAAAACCATATTAATGTTTAATCGTCATCTTAAACACTACATATTGTACACCGACCTTGTTCCTGCTGTCATCGTGTTCCTTCTCTATCTGTCGTTCCCGTCGGCGCATTTCCACGACAAATAACCCAATCACTCTGTTTTTTCTCACCATCACGACTTGTAGCTACGATTCCTGATGGACCTGCGGCATCAACAGCAGTACCTGACGACGACGACGCAGGAGAAGGCGCCCTCGAAGTCTCGCAAGAGGAGGGCGACCTTCTACTGGCCCTCTGGCAGCAAATTCGTGGCTGAGTTCTACTTCACCATCCCCATCAGTGCTCCCACCGGTGTCAGTGAGTATTACCTTGATGGAGGAAGAATGAGGGATAGTGAGTAAGGGAAGGAGACAGAGAGTGGGTGGGTGTTACCTTGATGGCGGGAGGGTGAGGGAGGGATTGAGAGACAAACAGGGACAAAGAATCATTCACCTAGATAGAGGCAAGGTAAGGGAGGGAAATTAATCTGAAATTTGCCACTGACAGAAGCTAGTTTATTGTGCACCCCGCACTCATCATGTGAGCGGTAGCACAAAAAAGATTACAGAGCAGAAGTCACAAAGTATGTTTATTAGACCCAGTGGTCAGGATATTGTGGCGTTGAGTGTTATACAGAATATTTCCAGTACATTGTTTGTTTAGTTCTGTACATAGAAGTATGCTTAGCTACTAGATGCGGAGTGTGAGCGCAGCTTTAGAATATTGACTATATCTTCCTCTTTAACATAGCATATCCTTTCTCACTCAGCAAAACTCATCCAGCATAACATACTCTGGCTTTCATGACATATTGTGAAACATACGTATACTTTTTGTCTTAATATATCGTATATTTTTCTTAGCTTAATATATAGCAACACTGGGGCGTAAAGTCCTATATAAAGTGTTATAGTAGTACATAAGTTATATACAACTATAGCACTTTAACCCTTATAAACATCCCTATAGTTACATCTTAGTCTGTATTGATGTCATTCATGTGATCTCAAACCCTTTTTAGGTGTATAGTCTATCCCAGGGGTAAACTAAATACCCTAAATATAAAGTTCAATCCTTATCCTTATGCTAACTAATGTTCTGGTATTTTTAACCGTCGTAGCTACCGATTACTATTAAGGATTGAGTAGATATATACCGTATTTGGTTTGTGTTTTATAATTAATATTGTGTAACGTATCAAAAAAAAAATATTAATCTGTTTTTTTTCCTTTCGGTTCCTCCTTTCGCCTCTTCCTGCCCCCTTGCCCCTTACCACCCTTTTCTTACTATCTCATTGCTCACTCCTCCTTGCCTCATCCCAACACCTTCCCTCCCATCCTCCACACCTGCCCTACCCTACACCCTCACAGCCATCCCGCTAACACTGGATGTGCCCTACAAGTTTGTGTTGCCTAACATCACTACGGACGACGACATGTACGGGCGAGACTACAAGAGACAGAGCGACCGATTGGACGTGTACGGCATCATAGAGGGGCTGCTTAACAGGTCAGTGATGAAGGCTAGAATTTCTCTGGTGATGTCTTTCTCAACATAAATCCCTCGTAAGTGTTTATGGACTGCATGTGTATGTAAATGTCACTGTATATTATGGATGTCAAAGTGAAATATCCATGAACTGAACGGGGAGATAGAAACTTCGAATAGCTAAGAGGTGAGTCAAGTTTACTATGTCTCCACCCACTGCATACAACACTCCGTCAACTATAACTATCTAAGCCTCTGTTCTCTACACGTCTTGGTTATTCATGTTTTACACAAATAGCCTTAGTTTTGAATGAAAATCTCACAGATATTGTATCGATTCGTAAATCAAGTGTCCCTTTACTTAAAGCTTTCGATTAAGTTCCTTCAAATGAGCAGTGACAGCAATCAGAAACCGCAAATCAGACCGGCAGGCTTCCTCATCAATCACAGAGTAAGTTGGTAACATTTTCCACCGCAATAACTCTTTTCAAAACAGTTCCACCACTTAACCATCGCACACTCGTAAAATATATGATCTCGGTAAAATTGTACTCCGATTCTTTTTAACAGGTTTAGCAAACTTCATTTTATATACCGTCGACTCACCACAAGATCGTCACCAACTCGCCGCTCGTGGTGAGTTCATCTTGTGTGTGTGTGTTTGTGTGTGTGTGTCCTCAGCGAGTGACGCATGATCCTTATTCAACAGGCAAAACAGATCGACTTGTATGTGAGCATCAACAAACAAATGGCACATCATATTAATTAGAAGAAAAAAGTACCACTGTTGACGACCATAAAAAATCAAAATTACTACGTGTTGACTGATAACCAAATCAAGATGATGAAGGAAGACTTGAGTGTCGCTCAAAGATAAGTTAGAAGCAGGACTTGGTGAGGGTGAAGCAGTGTTGGCAGCCTCCCAAAACTTAATAAGGGTGACAATGAACTCTAAGTAATATAACGGAGAGATTTAAACAAGTTACGTAATTCTCGCTTTTCATTCTTTAGTGTTGTGTTGTGTTCTGTTGTTGTGTTGTCGTGGTCTGTGCCTTTCTTATTTGGCCTGAAGTTGTCTTTTTCTCCTACCGTGGTCTAACATCATCTACCTTGGTCTGTCATCGTTTTCAATAATATGCTAAGATCTAGAATGTTTACGTGATTAAATTAACATACAACAGACCATCAACATTTAACATACAACAGACCATTAACATTTAACATACAACAGACCATTAACATTTAACATACAACAGACCATCAACATTTAACATACAACAGACCATCAACATTTAACATACAACAGACCATCAATATTTAACATACAACAGACCATCAACATTTAACATACAACAGACCATCAACATTTAACATACAACAGACCATTAACATTTAACATTTAACAAACAACAGACCATTAACATTTAACATACAACAGACCATTAACATTTAACATACAACAGACCATCAACATTTAACATACAATAGACCATTAACATTTAACATACAACAGACCATTAACATTTAACATACAACAGACCATTAACATTTAACATACAACAGACCATTCAACATTTAACATACAACAGACCATCAACATTTAACATACAACAGACCATTAACATTTAACATACAACAGACCATTAACATTTAACATACAACAGACCATCAACATTTAACATACAACAGACCATCAACATTTAACATACAACAGACCATCAATATTTAACATACAACAGACCATCAACATTTAACATACAACAGACCATCAACATTTAACATACAACAGACCATTAACATTTTTGTAATATATCAAGACCAGACCAAACAGACCTTTTGGGTATCGTTCAGTAGATCACATGACCCCCAATGACCTATCATCACCACCACAGGTCATCTCTCTTCTACTGGATTTTAAGAATGTCTTTTTTTTCACAGTTCCCAAATTGGCTGAGAATCTTGACACGTAATGAATGTGTCAAGTCATATTCTAGTCAACCCAACGTTAACTCCCAATATAATTATTCTTGAATAGTCAATTAGAAAACACGTAATAATTTAGTCTCAGTTATAGTTAACCTGTTATAAACTTTCTTGGCTTTTGAATTTCATTATTGATCTTCTAAAATGGAACACTTTTGAGTTTTTCTATTTGTTATTTAATGGAAAGCTAGAAATCATTTTATCATTGGCTTATATTCATAAAATGTCTCTTTGAAAACTGTTTATAAACTTCTATTAAATCGTCCCTTGTCTTTCTGTATTTTAAACTAGGAAATTGAAGATGCTGTAATCTCTCTTGGTAATTGAGGTTTTTCTGAGTGCCGGCGCCAGTTTGAAAGTTCTCAGTAGTTGGCTGTCTCTGGTGTATCTCGGAGACCAAAAAGAATTACAGAACTAGTAAGGGAGCACCACACTACACTATAGTTTCGAAGAGTCTTATGAAATATCTGTATGTGTGTAGGATCTTGGCATAGTCCCTCCAGTGTTACCAAGACTCACCTGCTTCTCACAGTGATCTGAGAATTAATGTTTCGTTCTCAAGATAAACACCCAGATCTTTCTCACGTCTGATGTCAGTTAGGGAAATCTGATGTGAGAAAGATCGTCTCCCGAGTGAGTTATAAATCAATAATTATATCGTCATTATATTATCGTCATTGTACATTAACTTCACAGACACATCTTAAGGCTCTCTATATGTCTATCTTTCACTTGTTATAATCTTGGCTGAATCCGCAGGTAATGAAGGAAAAGTTTCACAGATTAAGATCAAGAAGTATCCTCACTGATTGAAAGCATCTGTTTTGTCATGTAATTGGCAGCTGGAGGAGCCTTCTTTGCCTCCACATGTCAGGTGTGTGTGTATTACCTGGGGCAACACGAGGCCTGTAGCTGAGAGTTGTTCACATGTCGTCACCAGGTGTATGACACTTCATCCAATTATCCAAAAAGGTTTATTTTTATCCGATTATGGGTCACCATCTTTGACGTCACGCTGTGTACCATTTCTCGTCCAATCATTATTTTGATAGCGTTTGTTACCTTTTTATTATAACCAATCATGGATGATCAAGACTTATGCTACAAGATTCAGTCTTTCTACAGCCTGAAAAAGTCAATATGTATTCGTATTTGTTTAATTAATTTCCAGCGTTTAAACATTTTAGAAACACTGTACACGTGTATACAAGTGTTATTATAAATGTTTAACTTTAATGACTTGCATGGAAGATAAATACTTTCTAATACTGTATAATCAGTGTTTCTACAGACGGAGAGACGGGCACCTGTAGCACCTTCTGAGGAACACTAAAGGTTTCATGTATGATAATAATTACTTGTTTACACACAAAACACACAAGTAACGCTCAATTACTTTTCAAAATCTAATGTAAACCTTTTATCAAACTTGGCATGACTCCTTACTTCCATTGTTTAGATGTTGATATATTTTATAAACTATAAATTAAATCTCTCTTTTCCGTAGTTAAAAGTTATAAAATATCTTAAATTGTGAATACTTAAACATATGAAACAAGTAATGGCCATCAATAAGTTGTACCGGTATTATTGGATTTAAGTTTTCATCTCACTATAACCGCAAGGACAATCTCAGATATCGTAACATTAACCACTGTCCATTAACCACCAGGACAAATTCAGGCACAAGTAACACGGTAACAGACAAACAAATTGTACGTTACACACATCTGCCCTCAACCATGAAAAAGATGTGTGACGTCAAACCGTAAACACAAACTTCTCTATAACGTCACGCTCATTATCTCGACCTAGAGAAAGCCTCCCACAGACTCCTGGACCCGCCATTATTGCTGACATATTATTCATAATTGCGAGAAGACCTGAGATGATTTACATATATTTGTTAATGTGTCAACCTTAGATTTTGACTCAGTTGATCTGTCACTTACTGAAGGTTCTGTATACATGTATTTTTGTGTGCATGTTGGTGTGGCTGTGTAAGTGAGTTTATTCTTTATATACAAGTGTATTTGTAAATGTGTTAATGTGTGGATGTGTGTACACGTTTGTGTGTGAATGGCTATATATATATATATATATATATATATAACACGTAGGAGTGTCAGTCTTCACAAAGAAGGTTGGAGAGAGAGAGAGAGAGAGAGATACCACAACAGGAAATAGCTCGAGAACAACGCATCAGAGCAGGAGTGTGTCATAGCAGCCAGTCATACACACTTCTCTCCTAAGTTTTTGTTCTTAAAATTTTTATTACTCCCCTCTTCACAATCTATCTATTTATCTAATCACCTCGTCCTTAGGTTTCTAATATTGATAACACCTTAATGAAGTGTGGACATATTAGCGTCAACATCAAGTAACATAACAAAGCTCCTCGCTAGCTTGTTGACGCACACATTCACTACTTAAGAGGTGAGGCAGTGTGGCGCATCAGTCTTGTGTCTGGCAATTTGTCGTCACATGTATCAAGAAAGCTTCCCTGGGGTCTTACTGTGTCCTGTGGCTTCTGAGGTGGAGTAGAGAGTGACTGTGCAGGTGTCCAGGCGTCTGTATCCTGTTATTATACTCTACAAAGGATAATCAATACGCTGATTTTATGAAATATCTGAAGATTTATAAGATGGTCGTGGCCCGGGGAATATAATGAACATCGTCAACTCAAAATGCAGTCACTCACCAACTCATATGTCGCGGGAGGAAGTGACTTGGAGCTCAACTGAGTTAACTGCAGTCATATTACAGTCAGTGGTGCAACTCCTCCTCTTCCCCCTTCCCTCTCCCTCCCCTCCCTTTCCCACACCCTATCTCTCTCCTCCTTCCCCTACTACTCACCTACCTGGGTTGACTACACTCTCCCACCGTCACACCCACGTAAGGTTCAATATTCTCGTTCAGAATAAATACGCCCATTTTGTGCCTTAACAAACCATGGATCACATGAAGAATCTCCACCCCGGTTTATTTCACCTAAAGATTAGCCACCGTAACGCTAACCTAACCTAACCTAACCAAACCTAACCTAAAAAGCACAACACATTAACACGGTGAGTACTGTAACTTGTCCCTGTGATCGGCAGGTTTGGGATGGATGGCAAGTCGTGCATGTTGAGGGCCGTGTGCGAGAGAGCTCAGACCAACCTGGTGAGCGCCGGCATGCTGGGTGAAGTCATCACCACCATCCTTATGTGAGTAACTGATCCCCTTCATGTTGACTGGGTGGGGGTGGGAAGGGTTCATCATTCTGTTATCATTCTACGATACCCATTTGTCTTTAATTTCACTAAGAGTCATATTATATATCCTATTATTTTCTCTTTTAATAAATGTGTACTTGTCCAGATGATAGGGAAACTTTCTCTCACTACCTGAACAAAAATTTCACCTGACTCGATCTAATCCTCATTGACCTGATGTATACCTCAAGGTGACCTAATGATGGATTTTTCAGGGCCTCGTCGGCGTCTTCGTCAGAGGAGATGTACGAGTACGTGACAGCTGAGTACTATGGCAGCACATATGGTAACTGTCCCTCCATGTACTCAGGCTGTCCCATGTCGTTCTTCAATTGGCTAGAATAATTGTCTCTCTGGCACTGGATGGACTGATGACTTCTATTCAGCTGGAAAGATTGGCATTTCTTTCCTTTGATGGACTAATCGTAAGTCTTCAAGTGGGTTAATTGATCATCTGTCTTCTACTGAATAGGCCAATGGTCTCTCCATAGAAATAAATTGATCTAGGATTGTTCATCTTAGACCGACACACAAAAAAAAAAGAAGCACAATATATAGCTAAACCGAAGTGATGAGAGGTACAAAACCAGATATGGACTCCTGTAATAAAACAATCCCTGGATAAGTACCAAGAGAATAGAAATCAGCTTGTGTTGCTTGACAAATTTCCTCACATTCCTGGAGGCGGTAACAAAGTAAATGGACCAAGGTTCACCAGTGGACATGTTGTGCTTGGAATTTTTCTAATGCGTTTGACAAAGTCTCACATGCACAGACAAAATATTGAGATGGACTAAGCATTGCCTTAAAAACAGGCATCAATGAATGGGCATACACGGAGTCTATTCATAATGGAAAACGGTTCTCGGTGGTGTACCACAAGGGTCTATCGCTGTTTGTTATATGCAATAAAAATATTGATGGAAATGTTTGGAGCCACTTCGTCAAGTTTGCGAAATATTGGAAGGGTGTAAGTCAGCATGACATCCTATCCTAGAGCAACTATTTGCACGAACCTTTCAAATGGTCACATGACGGCAAATACTTTTTAACATAGCAAATTTTTTGCTTCTGCATATGGGACACCGTAACCCAAAACACGACTATTGTATGACTATCACTTTCCTGGCACCTCTAAATCAGAACAAAAAATTTAGGCGTCGTGGTAGACCAATAACTGAAAATAGGACAGTAAATGAGGTAGTAATGATGGAAGTCAACCACACTCAAGGAATTAAGAACATATACCATTGAATATGAAGATAAGAAAACCATCCTTCTTTAAAAGTACCTCCCCATCTGAACTACTGTATACAAACATGGAGACTGTAACTTCAAAACGACAAAACATGGTAGAAAAGGTGCGACTCAGAACGCCTAGTATTTTTTAAACTAAATTAACTCGATAATTCAAGTAGTCTGAGAAATTTAGGACCGAATTCTCTTCACACAAGATAGAATAGGGCAGACGTCAAAGAGACTTTCAAAATCCTGAAAGGGATAGACGTAAACCAGATCACTTCTTCACAATGTCAAGCGAATTTAAGGAGAAACTTACTCACAGGACGGTAGCTCTTTGGAACAATCTACCAGCTTCTTCATCCCTTGTCATGGCCACCTCTGGTTGTGGTAGCCATTAGGTTAAATTAGGTGGGGTAAACTATATAACTGAGTAAAAAAAATGCTCATTAGTGTATATATATATATATATGTTCAGTGTCAACAAAATCAGGAAGTGAATTATATTATTACTTGAAAGATAAACACTATGCTACTAAAATAAGTTGTTGGAAATCCTTATCACAACCAAGAGAAATTCTTACGTTATTAGAGTTTTCCTGGTTTACAAATACCGAAAGTGGAGTTAAAGTGTAGATTTGTATTGTCTGTGCAGTGTATAATGATGTCAGTTAGGTGGCTAGACTGCCTATAGGCTGTAAAGGAATGCTTCTGGTGTGTGATTTGCATGTTTGCGTGTACAGTACATAATCCTTCATATAATAATTGATGTAATTCCTGTACAAGCATTTCATAATCATTAGGCTATATATCACTATTTTAAACCAATAAGTTTATGTTTAATTGTCATCATTGTTACCTGCAGGTGTTGTGATACAGAACTTTGAGTCTTAAGTCATCTTGTATCACAGTTTATTGTTTATGTACTTTTATTTTGTTGTACAGTTAAGATATAAGGTTTTCAGTGTAGTGATATAATAGTCTTTCCATTCAGTCACCTGTTGTAGAATAGAAAATGTGTTTATCTGGCTGTCAGTTTGAGGAGTTTAGAATTAATACTTGAACCGTCATCATAAAACTCTCCTCTCTGAGCTATTATCTAAAGAGACTTATAATATAACTGGATATAAGAGATTAATCCATAGTGTTAAATATCCCAGAGTTTGTACACCACCACCACCACACACATGTACAGTATATAAGTTTAATGAACTCGTTAAATGTTGCTTGTGTGATAGATCTGGGTCGTGTTGGTTGGGGGAGAGGTTTGTAATAGTCGACTCTGTGATAACTCTAATTTGAAGTACTGTACTGTCATACCATTACAGTAACTCGTTTAATTTAAGTAGGAGAGTGATCGACTAAGAAATTACGAAGGATGTAAGAAATTAGTAGATGACTAATAGGTATATGTCTCATAAAAACTTAAATAATAATAGATATGTGAACAACTCGGAAATTAGGATTCATTTGGAATTTTGCTGATGATCAACTTCGAGAATTGATAAATGACTTGTAGTGTATGGATGGTTAAGAACACATATAAAATGTCAAAGTTCAGAATATGGACTTAAGACCATTGTAGTGCGTGTAGGAAACAATGTATTGAGGTAGACCAACAGCTAAATCGCTTCCAGTGTTGCTCCGAATACTGGAAATGAGAGGAACAACACCAAACACGAGTTAACCAAAAGGACATTGAAAAATCCTCTAGGATTCTACAAGCACCGAAAATATAAACCAAAATCTCCACGAAATCCCCACTAAAGAAACTCCTCAAAAACAAATCCTCGTAATTCCATAGAGATTCGATCGCCACTACATGCATTATTTTAATCCTTGGATGGAAAAAAATAACATGGAAATGATCAAGAACATGGGAAGTGGAGAAGAAACCAGTGTCAATATGACTAGTTTCTCTGGTCGAGTCCCATGACGGTAACACGCCCTGGACATGACCCGTGTGGTGATTCTCGCTTATTAGCCAGGTTGTAGAGGAAGGACGCCACTCTGTCAACAATTATTAGATGTTTGACGTCAAAAATGAAAGGGCATGTGATTTATTTTCTTCTGAGTTCAGTGTTTTGTATATATCTATTTATGTATTTATTTATTTATTTATGAGTTTATTTATTGTGTCTTGTCTTTAGTTAGTATAGTTTGCTTTGTAAACATCGAAATTTTATCGGTGTCTAGTGTTAGCCGTTTGTTGCACTGTGTCTAAAAAAAATTAATTGTAAATGAACTTCAAAGGAAAACTATGAAATAACACACACAATTCATATATGATTTATATAGTTATTCGCACAAAAAAGGGGTGGTAAAAGAAACATCACTTGTTTCCCTAACTTTGCTGTGTGCTATATTCTCCGAGGCTGTGGGTCCCTCAGGCACAGCCACTATAACGAATCATTTCTGTAAATATTAACTTAAATTAAAAAATTTTCCCCCATAGCGTCAGTGCCATGAGTACCCAAAGTATCACTCGCTGGACCTGTTCTTGTACTTAACACTTGAGGGCCACAGAGGACCTTGTTACACTTACACAGCAGTACACTCGCCTACGGTACACTCAGGTCGGTTCCCTAAAAAAGGTTCAGTTCGAGCCAGCTACAGCTACTGGTGTTCACCTCCACCTCGCTGTGAAATGTTTTGGGAGCTACGTCAGACGAACGTTCGCCTGTTTTTTGCAGAAGGCGGCGCTCTTGTATACGAGACAACATTGTACCTGGACAGTGTACACGGGACACGTGCCAGTAACCTCGTATATCATCCAGTATAAATTCAGTTTGTTATAATTATATGTTATAACAACACAGCTGACAGTGTTTCATTAGCCTCTGGAAATAAGTATTGTGGCGTCAACTTCATACAACTCTTTTATTATCGATTAAGGCTCCTTCAACTTTGGGAGATTAAGATGAATAAAAGTTTATTATAAGAGAAGATATTTAGAACGGATTTGGCATGACTTACCGTTATAATATTTCTATATAAAGATATACCAGTCCGAGTAATGTTTTTGTACAGTCAGCAGAATGTTATAAATCATGTATTGTGGTTGTGCTGCCAGGTACCGGTGAAGACAGACAGATCTCTACGACCTCTAAAGTCTTTCAGAGTTTATAGTCACACACACACACATAGGTTCCAACAACAGTATCATGCCATCTTTAAAACTCTAATATAACCCCTTAAAAAAACACACGAGACCAGAGTTCCTTCCACCAATCACACTCTCTCTCGATTCTACTCACACATCACCTCCACTGTAAACCATCTAACATCATCAACTCAGTCACGGCAAGAACCAAGCGCACCTGTCGAAGTCAATATCACGGTGTGTGTGTCATGAGGAGGTGTTCTGGTCGCCTCACTAGATGGTGGGAGAAGGAGCTCTTTATGATGTTTTTAGTTTGGTGTCGGGGTCTTGAACCAAATTAACATCTGAACTTTTGTCTAATTCTATGTTATTTGAATGAGTCCTTCTCTCTGTCTCTCTCTCTCCCCGTCTAATTCTATATTATTATGAAAATTTGCGTTCTATATAACTACAATTTTCTTGTCAATGTATTAGTTTCTAAATTACATTCCTCTCTAGTCATTATACCTGGTGGTGATGATAATCTACATTCACCTGTACCAAATGTAATTTATATAATCTCTTGGCTTTCCCATCGTGATACAGCCATACAGTTTACCCTCTACATATAAATATAACTTAATAACTTTTTTCTGGTCATCATTGTTTGTTTTAATAAGAAAATTATTTTATCAAGCTGTAGTACCAGTTAGAACAAAATATGCGACGTAAAATGGCCATAATTTCATAATGTTAATGTGTGTGTGTGTGTGTGTGTGCGCGTTCAACACATTGCGACATAGATCCTTCACAGTTCAGCCACCCTTTACTATCGTTCGCTTCTTGTGTCTCCATCCTCCAACTCTCTCTCCTGCTTCTCTTCTCATGGGCTCGATCCGTGTGGGTGGAAGTCGGCCATGTCCTTCTAGCCCACCCTGGCTCCCAGATTTCTTTATAAATGACATATTTCTCAGGTAGTCCATCACTGATCATTACCAACCACAGAACTGAGCGATCAAAGGCTTTATCATATATGGAAATCAATGGCAGTACTATCCTGAACTTCACGCTCAGCTTCAGGTTACTTAATGACACTGATCTGATTCGTACAGCTTCACGCGCCTCTAAACCCGGCTTGTTGGTCCTACACTCTTTCATTAAACCCAGTTTATGTCAAGTGCAATATTATCACATTGATGACTTGACACAGTTCCCGTCAGTTATAACGTCCACTTCTACAATTTCTGAGGTGGTGATGTTGACCCTGGACCAGGAAACTGTTCTTAAGTCTAATAACTTTCATTAGCCTGTATCCTAACTCATCAGGGAATTTTAGCCCCTTTTCACCCCAGGACCATGATATTCGTATCCTATTGGAACAAAGTGACACATAAGTTTGAATCCCCTTTGCTTGTCAGTCGTAATAGTTCTCTCTAGTAACTTACACGACCTGGATTTGTTCCACTGACAAGTATGGCAGATGTTGATCACAGAAGAAGCACAAGTGTAACCCAATATCAGTTGTCTGTGATATTTTCCAGGCTGTAGGTCTGTTTGAGGAGTCATCAGGCCAGAAGAGACGAGGTTCCCTCCCTTCTAGACTATAGTGAGTCTTTACAGTTTCATGACGTTCCCAGCCAACCTACAATTGTTTTATAATTCATTACCTTGAAGAATTTGGGATGGAATTTCTATTCTTTTTATGTTGCGTCTGTGTTCATGGACACGCATGTTTATAAAATACACACAGACAAACAACCACACGTATACAATAATAAACTCATACCGAAAATAGCTATAGTATTCGTCACAACATAAATTGTATCCTCCCAGACACATAATTACACGAATGATTACGTTTCCAGATTCTACAATATACATCATAATTAACTAGTGACACATGTGTAGTTAACAGACAAGCAAAGTGGCGCTACATGTGTCTGTCGACCTTCACTAGGTGTGTGTACCGCGAGGAGGAAAAGTGATTTCATGCCGCGTGCCTTCTGACCGCAGACCGCAAGCTGTTGACCGCGGGGAGAGGGTAAGGCGGGCCACGTAACCGGTGCTGCAGTGTCTAGACTTGGAACAGATAGACCGCAGTGTCTGGACGGCTTTGTCTAGAGACTAGAGTCCAGGGGGTGTCCAAAACATCAATCACAAGCCAGTTTCTAGTACTCTGGTAACTTAGTTAATCTACTCTAGTTAGTGACAAATACAAAGAACCGGCCTTTATTATGCCAAACAGCTCACATCACCCGACTGCTAACCTACACAAGACCTGCAGTCACAACGAAACTCGTCACTAGTTATGTTTACGGTCATTATTTACTTTATGTTGGGTAGCATCATTATCTTCATCTGACCTTTGTTTAGCAAGAATGGGCGATTTTATCTGTTTTTCCTGAAAATATAGTGTATCGCAAAAAAAAAAAAAGCTCTGTCGAATTTCGTATGGTACCTTTAGCGGTTCACCGGAATCCCCGACTGGAAAGAATCAGTCTTCTGGATTACTCGGAGGTGTCAAGGTCACTGTGTATTAACTGTGGTTAAATTGAGTGCTGGATCAAATACCAATAAACAAAGACCTACCACTTTCATAATGAGTGGGAAAATAATATATTTTTTTTACGATGAGGAACTCTAAATGTGTGTGTGTTTCTGATCCGCCATGCCCGTGTAGCTCTGGCCAAGAAAGGACATGTGGAGAGGCATTTCAAAACTATGCACAAGCGGTATGGTAGCGAATTCCCAGGCAGAAGTGAACTACTAAGAGAAAAGTAAATGAGTTAAAGTCTCAACTTACTGCTCAACTGGACACCTTTACAGGATGGTGAAATAGTCAAGCAGGCACTTTTAGAGGCAGCAGAATAGTTGTTGTCAGATGACCGCCTGGATACCTGCTCGAGGCTACCAATCAGCACGGACAATCCAGACTACACAAAGCTGACTGATAACATGCAATATAAAGTATCACATCAATAAGGTAAGTTCTTATGCTTTTAGGTAATTTTTTTTATAATCATCTATTTATTCTTGGTAGTCCTAATGCTGGGGGTTTGGGGGGAGGGCCATGTTGAGGAGGGAGGGACCGCGTAAGGATAACTGGAGAAAGTCTGGACACTCCTGCTCGAGACCACAGAGTTGGGCCACACTGCTTGACTTGATAGTGTGTCTCGTACGTCCCCACCTGAACTACTGTATACAGGTAAGGAGATCATACCTCCAGCAAGACAAAAGACAAAATCCCTTGAAAAAGTGCAACAAAGCGACTAAGATTATGGCCACCTCTAGTTAGGGTGGCCGCCAGGTAAACCCGATATACAGTATATACGAGTATTATCTTGTTCATCAATAACTCAAGGTATCGTTTTCCATTACATAAAAGTGACTCTTGCATCTTTATCTCCAAGTTGGAGTGGAAAATGAGCTTCTTCAAGGATGACTCGAGTTAATAATGTGTTTCGCCACTTAATAATGAGCGTGACGGTGGCAGTGGTGGTGTCACGGAAGGAGTTTTCCTTCCTTCCCTGATATCACTCAGTCTCACACAGTTTACTAACTCGTCCCTATTGTGTTACTGTGACTTCCCGTCTTCATTTTTCTTTGGCATAAAAAAGCCTCTGTTGTGATGATCTTAGGTAGATCATAATAAAAAAACAAAATAAAATATTAATAATCAAAAAATTTCAAATTATTATCTTGGGTAATTATTTTATTCATATCCTGTATCTGAAAATTCTGCCATTTGATTTCTGTTTATTGAAGCTTATATCTGTTTATAAGACATTCCTTGAATAACTGAATCACTCTTACGAGTCAGTTTGAACTTACTTTATTAGGATACACTAATTTTATATTTTCACACTGTAAACACACATACAGACACTCGGGGGAAACACAATGTCAGGTGGATATCACTTTTCATTGTGAAAGCTTTGTAGACATATTATCTTCACGGTAAAGTACTTGGTGTGATCACTCGTGAGGATTTATTTGCTAACTATTAGCGGAGACTACTGTAGGTAGCTATGAGGGAATTATGAATGAGCTCCACTCATGGTCGCAGACGTGACTCGATTCATTAGCGGCCCTCTCAGGTAACTAACAGGTGGGAAGTTTACTGCTAGGTATGTGACAGTCAGGACTCCTCGCAAGCAGACACGCTAATGAGGACCTATCGTATTAGAGGGTTGCAGAAGGACGCGGTAGGTGGCCGGACACAACTATTAGAGACCTGGGCTGACAGTCTGAGGCTCCATACCGTCAAAGGTAATTACATGTTGTTGGAGACCTGCTCGGACAACGGACGCAACACATTACGCGACGAAGCTACACCTATCTAGAAGGACGCTCAGTGCAGTTATGCGCTGTTGGAATACTTCGCGTTTATGTTGAAAGATCCTAGACTGCAGGAGAAAATTAGAATTGCGTTTGCAGACGGGAAACAAAAGAAGGTATTTAGCAGTGTACTTAACTTTTGAAAGAGCCATGAATTGTTGAAAGGAAATCCCAAACTCTTAAAATGGGGACCAAGTGATTTTGTTCATGGAGAAGAGCACAAGAGGTAGAATTGGAACCTTGTACTCTCAAGCCATTGGGAAGAGCCACCATGCTGACAGGCTGACTAGCACGGAAGTTCTTGGTCGTAACCCCGCGAGAATAATACCACAATTCTGTCAACAGTCACAGCGAAAGAAATATATATTATTTGGAGGTAACATTTGATACACCCAACACTGGAACGTAATTTTTTCTCATAT